AGTATTGTTTAGCGCATATCACTCTTCTAGCGATAGCTGCATTACGGAGCCCTTCCTAGTTCCCAATTCTAGTTCTAGTATTAGTCTAGCCACTTCGTGTTGCCTTTTTGTCTGTTTCCTGACCTTCTGCCTGTGTTTATTGGATTACCCCTCTTGTCAAGCCCTCTGGATTCTGTTCGCCGATCGAAGACCCACGCTAGCCCTAGGAATACTCTTGTGTCTTGCCCTCTACATATCTGTTTGCTGGTGTTCAACCCTGCCTGTTTCTGACCATGTCTTTGAATTAAGCCTTGCATATGGATCCGCACGTCTCACGTCTCGTTCGCCCCATAACAAATATATGTTTTCATATCAATATGTTTTAAATATAGTAATATGTTTTTTTCTCTAGTTATACTGTACTAGTATCAGCTAGAGATTTTGCAAGTGCTTTATAAAATATTTTTTATTTTATATAAAAAATTATTTAAAAAAAATCCATATCTAATTAATCTTAAGTAAGCTATTTAAGAAGTAAGCTATTTCTTGTGAATGTGCGAGACTTTCGATTCATTAGCCACTATAGGTGAATAACTTGAAGAATAACAGAGTTCAGTAAACTAAAACTATCTGTGCTACATTATTTATGATTACAATAATACATTAAAATATGACAAAAAAATACCAGATTGCAGTATCAAGCAGCATAATGGACTATATGCAGCTAAAATAACTGGAAGTCTTGAGCATTCAAGTTAAAAATGCTCGTGCCTCATCTTACATTAAAAATAAGGTGGATAGTGACAAACAAAAATCACAGAGAATTCATATAAGTGCATTGGTCCAAAGGTGTGGAAACACATAATTCAGTCATTTTTCTGTGAAGTTATTAATAAAGTACAGTAGAAAACTAAAATAATGTTGGAGCTGTGGTGTAGCAGTTTCAGGTTTGATTCTGGCCTGTGTCATGTCCTGATGCCCCTTCTCTCTCTCTACTTGGCTGTTGATTATAAAAATAAAAATAGCAAAAGGGTTATCAAAATTAGTCATGTTCTTGAAATTCATGATCACATGGATTCTGATTGAAATAGCTGTATTTCGAGACTGAAAATTTGCCGAACCATGGTAAATGTGACAGCACCTTTAAAGGACAGAGGTCAAGTACTAATACAAACCCTAAATGCAGTTTGTGCTAGAACAAGATTAAAACTATGCTAGCTGTGCTACCTACATCTAGCATTAAGGTTAAACCAAAAAGTGCTAATGCATTTGTTACTGCTTTTTGGTGTAATGAAAGAAGTGTTAATTAATATATTAATTAATGTAATTAATGTAATGGGGCAGGATGTAATGTAGGTTTTTTATTGGTTTAAAAGGCCAACATACAAATAATGGAACCTTGAAAAACTGGATGACTCCATATGTGCTTTTACCCCACAGATGGAGTCAAGCAGCGTAGCAAAATCGAAGAACGACAAGGCATGGAGGGCAGTCTCAGAGGAAATCAAGAGGATCTTCAGAACCTCTGTTTTACAGCTGCAGGAGAAGGGGACCATGAAGAGCGGTCAAGCCAAGAAATTTCTTTGCTCGGGTAAACTCTAGTTATATTTACAGTAATGACTGTTCACAGCTAATAAATGTTTAGTGTTATTTTGCATGGCTTTAAATGCCTGAGTGGGTTTGCAATGTGTTTTGGAGTACATTGCAACTTCTATAAGTGTCAACATTGACTGTATATGTAAATATACTAATGGTACTTTTAAATCATTATGGTCAACTTATTTTCCACCGAGCTAAAGGTCCCCATCCAAATGCCTAAAATGACTTAATACTTCATATGATTCTCTCATCTATTTTTTTGTAATAATCTCAATGTTCTGTGAGTAATTTTGCTGAAATAACATGTTTTTTGATCCATAGTGGAGTTTAATGTTACCATTCTTAACAATCACTGCCCTCTTGCTGATTTAGTGCTTCTGTTGGGGAGAATAAATGCATATTTGTCTATCTGTCTATCCTTGCTGTCACTGTCAACCTTGACAATTTTGAACAGGCCATTGTCATACTTTCTCCAACATTTACTATTTTGATAACAGCTTTTGAAAAAAACAATTAGCCACCTGGGATATGTCAATGTCTCTACATTTGGACCGTGATGCCGTTACACTGCTCTGATTGGGCATTGTCATCATATGACAACAATAAAAACAGAAGGGGAGTTACTAGCTATATTTTTGCTTATTTATATGATTCTATTGCAGACATTTACAACATGCTAGAATGATTTTAAAGTAGTTCACATGATGCCTTTATACACATATATGGGATGGAAATAAACTCTGCAGGACAGTGGCCTTCCAGCACTTTTTGTGACTCAATGCGTGAAGCAATTTCCAACCAGCCACATCAAGGAAATCTGAGGATCTTAGACACATTTTCACTCTAAACGTTTCAATGGTGCTTGATGCCTAACATTTAGGTTGTTTGTCTGTAAAATTATATGCATAATTAAAAAAGGCTGAATCATGCAACAGAGTCATAGTTTATAGATTTGTGGTTTCAAAGAGAGATCGTATTCAAAGCTCATAATGAATGTAAATGTTATTTTTATCCCGCTCTTGAAAGTCATTGTGACTAAATTAAAATTCGCCAGGCATTAGCCAGCATAAGAGGAGATCTAATCAGGCTAATTTAATTCATCCAGGTTAATCCAATATTCAGTGATACAGTTAAGTCTCATCACCATACCCCACATTAGAGACAGTGGGTCGTCACCGGAGAAAGAACAGATTTACTGCTTGCTCTTTTATGTCATTCTGAGTGCATGGGCTTATAATTCAATCACTGATACAGTTAAGTCTTCATGTCGACATGCAGTAGATATGAAACAATTGCATTCAAGATGATCCCCTAAGTGAGGCATTTCTTTTTTTCCGAGAAGAATAATTTGCTCTCAGTCGCAGAGGTTTTACTTTCATTAAAACTGAGGTCTTCTGTCTGACTTCAGAGCATCAGTGAGTCTTTCCCTGATCTCGAGCTTGTGCACTCTGATGTCTGACGGATATGGCATCTTGTGGGTCTTTATTAAAGGAAGCATCACTGCATCATAGAAAATAGGTATCACATTGGTATTACATTTCACAAGAAAATATGCAAGTAAAAATAAAAGACAGTAATGTTGGTCAGAGATCAGATTGCCTGCTGACTCCCCTTGATCGGTTGTTTTGTAACATTAGACCACATGCATGACAGAAGATTGAGTATGAGGTAGTTTAATATAGTATGTATTAAATGTATTACATTAAGTGTAATAAAAGTGTTAGTAAATATGTACTTGAATGGTAGTAGGGTGTTTTCACATCAAAAGTATTTTCCAAAACCTTCTGTGTGCATGTATGAAAATAATGACATTAACTTCGGTATTGACCTTGTATCTATCTATACTACAGTACATAGGTATTTTACAATATTTAGCATTTTGCATATTTTGGCATTTTACCATTACGATAAAATATAATAACTTTTTTCTATTTTAATCTAAACTGTTATTTAATTCCTGTGATGACAAAGCTATGTTTTTAGTATTACTTGATTCTAACTAAATCTAATTTGAGTCTGCTAATTTGGCGCACAAGAAACATTTTTGATTACTATCAGTGTTGAAAACAGCTGTGCTGCTTAATATTTTTTATAGTATTTTTTGCTTTTTGATGAATAAAGAAAAAATTCTAAAGAACAACATTTACTTGAAATAGAATTTTTGTAACATTATAAATGTCTTACTTTTGATCAACTGAATGCTGAATAAAGTTTTTTTTTTTTTTCAAACAACATTTAAATATCCTACTAAACCCAATGGTAGTGTATTTAGTGTATAATGTATAATATCTTCAAGCAGGCACCCTATTTGTTTTTCAATGTGGTTTCTATTTTGATTACTAATACCAGAGTGAGGAAAGTACTTGCAAGATTTAATCGAGGTAATGCTCTCCTGGGGGATTTGTAGCCGTTTACTTGCCGCCTTTGCATCCCCCTCTCCTCTCATTTACAAAACAAGCTGCAAGTATGCGATACTAAGCTGACGAGGTTGGCAGGCTATCGCTGGAATACTGCCTTTGGAGGTCTTTGATAAAACCAGGCGAGGCTGGATTAAGAGATCATATCACTTTTTTCTTCGTCAAGGCAGCTCAGAGAGACGCATCATATAACTTGCTAAAGACTGGCAAACGCGGGGGAAGAGCTCACCTCATCAAATTAAGCATGTTTTATGAAAGTGCCACTGAAGTGTTTCGGGAGTAAACAGTGGCAGGGATGAAAACCATGAATGAAAAGAAACGTTCTGTCATGCAGAACTGGGTAATTATCATGCTCTCTCTGTTTTCTCCTGTCTTTCAGCATTAGAGGATGAACTGGATTTTGCATTGGGCAAGCAGACCCCAGCCTTCCTCAAGAAATGTGTATGTTACATCCGGAAGATATCCAACTTTGACCGTTTCGCTAAACTCCCCGAGATGGCCCGCTACATGGACATCGTGGTGAGCGCCGACCGTGTCATGAGAAACCAAGAAGCCTACGAGCGTCTTCTGAAAGTCAGAGACGAGTTCATTCCAATGGTGGTGGCAGCATCCAATCTTCGAGTCTACTCTTCCGTCACTCACTGTGACATGAAACTTGGCTACTCGCAGGAAGTAGAGAGCCACTACGTCGAAGGTCTGTGCAAACAGTTTTATGAAGACATGGTGGATATCATCCAGGCCACGGTCCAACAGAACTTTGACACAGAGACAGATACGCTCTATGATGAAATTATACAGCATCTTTCGCTGTGCAAGACTTTTTCATCTTTTTATGTGTACAAGAGTGAAGCCTTGGACATAGTCCAGGAGTACCTGTACCCCTCCAAAGGTGGTCGAATAACTCCCCTAGTGGTGTATGGAGGACCCTGCATTAGACCACATGCATGACAGAAGATTGAGTATGAGGTAGTTTAATATAGTATGTATTAAATGTATTACATTAAGTGTAATAAAAGTGTTAGTAAATATGTACTTGAATGGTAGTAGGGTGTTTTCACATCAAAAGTATTTTCCAAAACCTTCTGTGTGCATGTATGAAAATAATGACATTAACTTCGGTATTGACCTTGTATCTATCTATACTACAGTACATAGGTATTTTACAATATTTAGCATTTTGCATATTTTGGCATTTTACCATTACGATAAAATATAATAACTTTTTTCTATTTTAATCTAAACTGTTATTTAATTCCTGTGATGACAAAGCTATGTTTTTAGTATTACTTGATTCTAACTAAATCTAATTTGAGTCTGCTAATTTGGCGCACAAGAAACATTTTTGATTACTATCAGTGTTGAAAACAGCTGTGCTGCTTAATATTTTTTATAGTATTTTTTGCTTTTTGATGAATAAAGAAAAAATTCTAAAGAACAACATTTACTTGAAATAGAATTTTTGTAACATTATAAATGTCTTACTTTTGATCAACTGAATGCTGAATAAAGTTTTTTTTTTTTTTCAAACAACATTTAAATATCCTACTAAACCCAATGGTAGTGTATTTAGTGTATAATGTATAATATCTTCAAGCAGGCACCCTATTTGTTTTTCAATGTGGTTTCTATTTTGATTACTAATACCAGAGTGAGGAAAGTACTTGCAAGATTTAATCGAGGTAATGCTCTCCTGGGGGATTTGTAGCCGTTTACTTGCCGCCTTTGCATCCCCCTCTCCTCTCATTTACAAAACAAGCTGCAAGTATGCGATACTAAGCTGACGAGGTTGGCAGGCTATCGCTGGAATACTGCCTTTGGAGGTCTTTGATAAAACCAGGCGAGGCTGGATTAAGAGATCATATCACTTTTTTCTTCGTCAAGGCAGCTCAGAGAGACGCATCATATAACTTGCTAAAGACTGGCAAACGCGGGGGAAGAGCTCACCTCATCAAATTAAGCATGTTTTATGAAAGTGCCACTGAAGTGTTTCGGGAGTAAACAGTGAAAACCATGAAAACCATGAATGAAAAGAAACGTTCTGTCATGCAGAACTGGGTAATTATCATGCTCTCTCGTTTTTCTCCTGTCTTTCAGCATTAGAGGATGAACTGGATTTTGCATTGGGCAAGCAGACCCCAGCCTTCCTCAAGAAATGTGTATGTTACATCCGGAAGATATCCAACTTTGACCGTTTCGCTAAACTCCCCGAGATGGCCCGCTACATGGACATCGTGGTGAGCGCCGACCGTGTAACCAAGAACCAAGAAGCCTACGAGCGTCTTCTGAAAGTCAGAGACGAGTTCATTCCAATGGTGGTGGCAATCTTCGATCTTCGAGTCTACTCTTCCGTCACTCACTGTGACATGAAACTTGGCTACTCGCAGGAAGTAGAGAGCCACTACGTCGAAGGTCTGTGCAAACAGTTTTATGAAGACATGGTGGATATCATCCAGGCCACGGTCCAACAGAACTTTGACACAGAGACAGATACGCTCTATGATGAAATTATACAGCATCTTTCGCTGTGCAAGACTTTTTCATCTTTTTATGTGTACAAGAGTGAAGCCTTGGACATAGTCCAGGAGTACCTGTACCCCTCCAAAGGTGGTCGAATAACCCCCCTAGTGGTGTATGGAGGACCCTGCACTGGAAAGACATTGTTACTTGCTGAAGTGGCAAAACAGGTGAAAAGCATGTATTTGCATGTATTAGCCCATTTGTGTGTGTGGGGGTGAGAGAGAAAGCACGTGTGAACATACTGACCTGCTTTTTAAGGCCATCTGGATGCCGGCACATGTTAGATTAATGCTGCGGGATGCCTGTATTTAGCCTAAAGCTGTTCTTTGCTTCCTCTGACTTAATATCTGATGTCATGGCATGAGATTCAAATTAACATTAAAGGGGTCCTATTATGCTTTTTCACTTTTTCAACTTTAGTTAATCTGTAATGTTGCTGTTTGAGCATAAAAAAGATCTGCAAATGATATCACAAATATCGACGAATGGGACGAGACCTGGTTGAGCTGCACTAGAGAAGGCAACGAGTGTTATCACTATGTCGGAGACACGCTAGCTTTCCCAAGGCAGACGAACTTAGAGTGGTTACAATCATCCGGGTTTAAATTGCGCTCAAAATGATTTGATTTTGACGCAATATTTACACTGAAGCTTGCAGGCTGGGGCATGACATTTCCCGACCAGGTGCCGAGTGGTGCCAATCACAACACACACTGGCCCAGCTAACCAATCACAGCACATCTCATATTTCAGAAGGCGGACCTTCATTTGATACAGGAACTATTTGAGCCGTTCATGCCAGACTGGGGAGAGAGGTGTTGTAATAATGTAAAATATGTGAAAAATAATGTGTTTTTCGAACAACCTAGTATGAGAGCCTGTTCTTGTACACCCCCCAAAGCAAAATCAAGACTTTGTAAAAGAGCATAATAGGACCCCTTTAAGGTATTTTGGGCTGCTGTTACATGAATTTGTCTGTCGCAACAGATTTTGTGCATTCCAGTGTATCTGGAGGCACATGGTAGTCCAAATACAGATCATTGCATTCACAAGCTTAAAAAATGCTGATTTAATTTAACTGATAAAAATAATTTGATATAGTTACTCATATCTGTCAGCTTCAACCAATACTTAGGGCTTATGGAGATCAGTGGTGTGCTTGTGTCATGTGTTGATGGTCAGAATTGACGTTGTTGGTAAGTTTGGGGGCGAGGAACAAAGGAGGAAGGGTAGTGTTGACATTTCCCGTCACCCATGGCAACCCGTCAAAGACCTCAGCCTCTAATGTTAGTTCACAGATGATGAGCCTGGGGACCTTGACTAACTCCCTCGTCCTTGCTTATGTTCTCTCTCTCACACTGTCCTTCTATGTAACATACACACTACAGAAAGGCAGATACTCTAAAATATTTATATATGAAATGCAATTTACATGCCCACACATTGCATGCACTTTTTATAATCAAGAGTGTGTCTGTGTCATGCAAATTAGTCTCTTAGCATGATCTCATGTTTGGTACAGCTGGCATGTTTTTATATTGCCCTTGTCAGTGCAGTACGGTACTAAGAATCATGCAGCAAATATGAGCACAGTGATGCATTCAAGTAGCAATCTGGACACACACACCCCATGGCTAATCATACAAACGCACAGACACACAGTCCTCTTGCAAATGGTGGCTTTGGAAAAGCGTTTTATCATTAATTGTCAGCCTCTCCAAACAGAGAGAAATACAATTTCATGTTTCCCTGAATCACAGCTGGGGGCACCCTTTAACCACATCCAAGAAAGAATTGTGCTAAGGATGAGGGAACGTTTCAAAATGATTTAGAAAATCCTTGGCACAAAAAAATCCAGTGCTGACGCTATTGCTGTTGTGTACATTCGATTATTTGCTGTACAGTCATTGCTCTTAGATTTCCTTCCGCACACTCCGAGTTGTCAAAGTTTGTGTACAGTGGATCTACTAAATAATGGATGGACTGGAGTCACTCGAGTTTTGTTTGCTAGAGTCATACTTATAATAACGTTGCTTCAGGTCACAGCAGTTCCTGGATTTTTAACTGTCTGTTTTAATAGAAACAGGACACAAGATCCTGTTAAACATTAATTAATAATGCATACAGCAGTCAAATTTTATATAGATCATCTATTTGTAAATGGCCTACTAAAATCAGATTACAAAATTACCACTTTTGCACAGATAACATCTTGAGCTTTTCCTAATTGTATATAAATATCATATGAATTAACATACTGGAAAACATTCAGTAAACTATACATGAATGCTGTATTTCTGAGCTTCTGTTTCATTTTCATTTGTTTAGGCTTATTCATGGCTACAGAAAGAGATGGGACCAGAAACAGACCCAGTTGTCATTGTCAGATTCATCGGCTCCTCAGACTTCTCTACTGACCTCCGCACGCTGCTACAGAGCATCTGTGAGCAGATTGCCAACAACTATCGGTGCCTGATTCACTTCTTACCAAACAAGATCCAGGAGATGAGGGAGCTGCTGGTGAATTTGCTTGGGGAGTCATCATTTCACCGACCTCTTGTCATTATTCTGGATGCCTTGGAGCAGTTGTCAGATGTTGACGAGGCTCGGAAGCTGTGGTGGCTGCCTGTCCACCTGCCACGTACAGTCCGAATTGTAGTGTCAACCCTGCCCAACAAGCATGGGATACTCCAGAAATTACGCAGCCTGATACATGACGAGGATGCCTATGTTGAATTGATGCAAAGAGACCGCAAAGCTTGCAGTCAGACACTTAAACAGCAGCTTCTGAGTGTCAAAAGGAAGGTGACCTCTGGCCAACAGATATATGTGAATGAGGCAATGGCAAAATGTACACTCCCCATGTTCGTCAACCTCATCTACCGAGAAGTAGTTCACTGGCGGTCGCACAAGGATGTGGATGACAAATCACTGTGTTCGACGGTGCACGAAAGCATTGAGCAGCTTTTCTACTCCATTGAAAACAAGCTTGGCTCACGCTTTGTCTTTCGGGCACTGGGCTACATCACAATGGCACGGGCAGGCCTAACAGAGCTGGAGCTAGAGGATATCTTATCTTTGGACAACAGTGTCCTTGGAGACATCATGGTGAGCTCTAATCTTAAAAGCCCGCTGCGTATTTCTTACGATTTCATAGCCAGGCTAAAAGAAGAACTTGAAGGTTATTTAGTGGAGCGTCAAGTCCGTAATGTAACGCTAATGGTGTGGGCAAATCGCCACCTGCATCTTATAGCACAGAAGCTATACCTCAGTAATGAAGAAGATGTGCATCAAATGCATAGTCTTTTGGCTGAGTACTTCCTCGGGGCATGGGCAGGTGGTAGAAAGAAGATATTCCACTGCGACAATAATCACTTTGCCTCACTGAATATCTCACACCAACGAAACCCTCATCACCAGCAGAGCCTTCATGGCCATGACAAAGCTTCTGCTGACAAGCACTCTTATGACAGACAGACACCCGAACAACCCTGGGTGTTCCAGTGTAACTTGCTAGAGCCGGACATCTTCTTTGTCAACCACCGAAAGATGACAGAGCTCACATACCACCTGACAAGGAGCGGCCGGACAGATGATCTCATGTATGGTGTCATAATGAACTTCAGCTGGCTCTACACTATGATAAAGATAGGGCATTTTGACAAGGCCCTGTCAGACATTGACTTAGCTTACAGCTACACGCAAGAAAAGGAGCTAAAGTTTCTCGCAACTACACTCCGCAGTATAAAACTTAAAGTGACAAAGAATCCTGCATCACTGTCTGCTGAACTTCAGCAAAGGCTCCTTCCAGTTGTCACATCTCTTCCCAAGCTCAGACACCTCCTTCTTGAATGTGACAAGGATGGTCCTAAGTACTGCTCCATTGTGCCACTGCACTCTTCCATGGATGTCACCTACAGTCCCGAGAGATTACCGCTATGTTCTAGCTACATGCAAATAGTGGAGATTCTACCTACATTAGCTCCAAACATAGTCATTGTGGCCCTCGAAGACGGATCAGTCAGCACGTGGGATGTTGAGAGCAGACAGCTGATAAGACAAATAGACACGGCGAGGTCGGTTGTTCTTGGCATCAGGCTAACCACAGATGAGAAGTATCTGGTAGTGGCCACTACAAAAAATACACTGCTCATTTACGACAACCACAAGTCATGCTTGTTGTCGGAGGTGGAGGTGAAAGGGTCCAAGCACTGTGGCATCACTGGCGGAGTAGCGTTCATCAGTGGATTCACCTTGTCCAGCCACCATGCCTTAGCTTGGCTGGAGGCAAGCAAAGATGTCAATGTGATTGATTTGCTCTATGGCTGGCCATTGTATCAGTTCCATTGCTGGTATGAGGTAACCTGTGTCCAATGTTCCCCAGATGGAATGTATGCTTTCTGCGGACAGTATCTCAACACAACCACCATATTCCACCTCGGTAGTGGGGACAAGCTTGCTACAATGACTTCTGAATTCTCTGGTGGTTTTGTTAAGTCCATCCTGATTCTAGACACAATCCATCAAATGGTGATGATCGACAATGAGGGCAGCCTCTCTGTGTGGAACACCAAAGATATCACAAATCCTAAGCTGATGGAGGATTATGACTGCAGAGGAGATGATAGTGAAGTGGTGGGCATAGAGCTTTCTGAGGATCAGCGATCCATCCTCATCTGCAAAGCGAGAAGCATTGAGGTGCTGGACACCAAGATTTGGAAGATGGCAGAGAAGTTTAAGGCCAAGCGTAGCGAGAAGTTTGTGGCAGCCGTTCTTTCCAAGAATAGCCAAAGTATAATAGCTTCCATGGAGAATACATCATCCATATTTGTGTGGCGGAGAGACAGTGGACAGTGCATGGCCAGCTTGATAGAGATATCTGGAGCCATAGTAAAACTGATCAAATCAACACACCATAACTTGCTGCTGTCTGTGGCCAGCAGTGGCGTACTTTCCGTGTGGGATATTGACATTATAACAGCCATGTCAAACATTGATAAAACTGGGAAACCTATCCAAAGTCTGCAGCTCTCTGGCCGAGAGGATTTTGTGTACACCATGGATGGGTCAGAGGTCATCCACAAGTGGAACTACAGCACAGGTTTCATTGAGATGGTGTTCAAGCATGAAGGCCTTGTCGAAAACTGCGTCTTGACAACATCGGGTGACCTAATGGTGACATCTGATGATAAAAGTAGTCAGTACATCTGGCATACAACCACAGGTGAGAATATATTCCATATCAATGGTCAGAGGATCTCACAGCTTCTCATCACACACAATGACCAGTTTGTAGTGTCCCTTTGCGAACAGAATGCCTCCCGCGTTTGGAGGCTTGCGACTGGTCACAAGGTGTGCAACATTTTGGTAACACTCCAGCATGCCCTCATTACCACAGCAAACACATTCCTTGTGGGAGCCAACAAGAATAAGCTGTTGGCTGTTAGCTTGTGGTCAGGCAGTGTGTCCAAAAAGTTCATCTGTGACGATGGGATCACAATTGTTAACTTCAAGTTAATTCCTGACAGTCCAGATTATGTCGTCTTCATCACCTCCACAGAAACAGTTTTCATCTGGAGTGTTGCAGATGAGTCTGTGTGCAGGCGGGTGCAGCTGCCTAGCAACTTTTTGAAGAACCTGGAGGATTTCCAAATATCACCAAATGGGAAATTGGGCATTATGTCAAAAGGTGATGAGAACATTAATGTCCTAGACCTGCACAGTGGTAAACTGCGTCTGGTCCATGCTGCTGGCATAATATGGCGGCAAAAGCTTTCACGAGATGGACGCTACTTAGTGTACATCTGTTTCCGCAATTGTGACGAAGATGATGATGCAGGTGTGGTTTCAAGTCTGATTGTCATGAGATTGGCAGATGGCAAGAGTATCGGGACCTGCTCCCTCTACAAAACACCAACCTATCTGTGCCTATCACAGCGAGCACTTAACATCATAGTGGGATTTGAGGATGGCAGCATTGGCACCTACACAGTCGTAGACCGTGTGGATGCCGCTCTGAAAATCAAGATCGCCACCTCAAACAGTCGCCAAATAGTTAACAATGCCTCACAGAAAGTACGACCCAAGTGTAGCACCAATGCCTTCAAGACCATTGCTGACTGTGTGTGGAGAGAATCCACCGAGGTCTTCTCACGGGACAGTCCTATCAATGTGTCTGACAGTGGAGAACCAGAGACAACAACACCCACAAAGAAAACTGAACTGCTGCAGTGAGAGCGCCCTCTGTAGGACATTAGCAGGCATGAAGGAACAAGGCCAGATTTGGACACAGGTGATTATTGTTTACAGCAACTTTGATTCAGCTGCACAGATCAGTTCTCTGGGTAACAACACAGCAACTGGCCATTTGCTATTAAGCTGCACTTAAGCTGCAATCAGTTACCTTGATTTCTTTTATCCATCATCAACTTACTGTCAGATGTGTACACTGAATTTAATAGGAACAAATTCATAACAAATGTCATTCATTGGAAAAGCAGATCCAGTCAGCTTTATGATATGTTCTTCCTTCTCATGTGTATGCCAGTGTGGCCGTATAGTTCAGATTTTGTTTAGTCAAATCAAGCCATAACATCACTTTGTACAGAAGCATGGAGAAATGTAATAGATTTGTAGCCATATAAAAGTTGCTGTCATTTTTTTGTTTTTAAAATATTAATTTGTGTCTGTTTATTAACGTCCTCTGGTACTGTACTAAAATGGAAACTTATGTACATATGTGTACATATGTACTTTGGCTGCTGCAGTTTGTGCAACTACTTAAATATATGTTATGTTGTGCTAAATGCAATCAAAGTGAGTGCCTGGATTTTAACATTTTTGTTACAGAAACTGATTAAGAAAAAATGCAGGGAATTTCTAAACAAAAATATATTGATACAACTATTCATCATTACGGTTCAGCATACAATGAACATTTAGCATACAATAAATACAAATTTGCTTAATTTAAAATTACAGCATCTAAATGAGGATCATTGGAAAGTATATTTCAGTATTCAGGTATTCAGAGTATAGTCTGGAGTCAGCATGAGCTTCTTAGTAAATTCAGAATGTGTTCTAGACTTTCTCTGACCAAAGTCACATGGAAGTCCATATGTGTAATTTGCTCTAAATGACAGACAGTATTAAACCCATCCTCATATTTAATTCTATACCAATTCACCAATTACTGTCATGATACTGATACTGAGAAGGTCATCCTCTGACTCGACTAAATCCAATAGATTAATAGTATTAATGGCATTACTTTTAAAGAATGTGCAATTCATTGTATCAAAGGACGATACAGTTGTATCGAGCTACAGATGTTGAGTACTGATTTGAGGACTAAACCACTATTGAGGAGTCATGTAGCATCTCACCAAGACTTTCTACGCCTTAACAGTTGGGTCATCTTATACAAATGTGTATTTGTAATTGTTCTTTGTGAGGTAAAGATTGATTGATTGTGTGCTTGAAAAAAAAAATTATACTTTGTACTTTCATGTTATAGATGACTTAGTGATATTTATGAATAGGCTATATCATAAACAAGGCTGATTTATGAATGGTGTTTGCCAAGGCAGTGTTTGGGGGTTGCACTTTATTTTAAATGGGTTGTTCACTGAGGTTGACTTTGAACAAGTGTGTCATGAATGCCAACTCTACGATTTTTGCCTTCAGTTATGGGTGTATTCTGGCATGTCGCAAAAGAAAGTAGTTTCAACAAAACGATCAGCCATGCCCCATTCAAACTACTCTCTCCATAACTCAAGGGCTATTCCGTCGAATTGTATGTTTACCTCTGGAAATACTGACACATTTACAACCCACAACCTGTAGCAGTATTCAGGTGTGATTAGCTTCTCCCACTGAAGTGTTTAAAACATATAGATATCATACAATATTTGCCAAAGTTTTATTTATTTGTTTTATTTAATTATTAATATTTGTTTTCAGAATGTTAAATGGTGTTGTTTGTGAACCTACTTGTTACTTTTCTGGCTTTGTTGTGTTTTCTAGCATAACTATGAGAACATGCATTATCTTTGCTAAGATATTGACAAAGTCCATCTCTATTATAATGGAATGCCCGTTTTAGAGTATATTTGAATGTGTCCATATGAGAGCAGTTGAACAGTATATTATATGTTATGTAACTACATGTTTGCAAAACATAGTTCACATACTGGTATTGAATGTGTTTATTGTATTATTTGTATTGTCAAGATTGAAGATCCCTGTTTAGAGATATATATTTTCATAAATGTTGTACTTACATTTTGTTACAAAGTTGTTTAAGTATTCTAGAAAACAAAATAGCAGAATAAAATGTGTCTGAAAGCAATATGACTTAGTGTGTATGCATTGTTTGTATGGAACATTTTAATGTAATAAAATGGTTTTCTTTCTGCCTCTTAAATCTTATTGTTTTTCATCTGAATATATTGGTCTTCTTTTGGAAAGAAAACACAAGACATTCAGTTCTTTAAGAGGACGTGGTGGTTTATAGATATGTAAAAGTACATCATTTTTCAAAAACCTGCCATGATACAATTACTGTATACCTCTTTTAATCTAGCTAATACTAATCTTCATTCAACTTGGTTTATTACAATGATCCTCAAGAGGCATGGTGTTTACGTGATGAGCGCTTTGCTAGAAGGATTCCCTACATGGCACAATCAGAAACTGAGACGTTGAATGATTTGGCTGATAATAGTTTTCCTCCCCGGTGCAGTGTGCAAACAAGGGTGTCAAATATTTTCCAAACAGTGGGCAGGTGCTATACCATATCAATATTTCAATTACTGCTTGCACACACCTGGATTCTTTCATACACGTCTGCAGCAGTGCAGGTACCAACGCACAAACACCACCGTAAACAAATAGTAGCTCAGGGCAGGAATTCTGGTGTGTGTGTGGTCTCTATGGAAACTGAATCCTCAGTGGAATCAGCCCCCTGTTGTGATGACTATGGAACTGGCATATCAACATTGTGTATCAGGGAAAAACAAATGCATTGGCTTTTTTTTTTTTTTTTACATAAACTCATCACGGCATAGACGCTCTTAGTCATCTCTCCCTAGGAAGTCACCGCTCTGTAACTGAACAATTGTCATCAAATAGTCAATATTTGTACTGCTAAATATACCACATTTATTCTGATCATCCCACAGTTTTTGATTTCATTTCCTGGTGTGAGGAGTTTCCTTGTACAAGTGCAAACTTATAGCAATTAAGTCTTCATTTTGTACCACGAAAGTACAGTATAGTCGTAAATAAAAAGAAACACATCTGATATACACGCTAAAATTCAAAAGATTAGGCTCCGTAACATTTTATTTTTCATGTTATAGAAAGAAGTCTCTTAGGCTCACCAAGGCTGCATGTAAATCGATTTTTTTATTTATTTATTTAATTTATTTATTTATGTATTTATTTTATTTTATTTTAATCAACATTGTGTATCAGGGAAAAACAAATGCATTGGCTTTTTTTTTTTTTTTACATAAACTCATCACGGCATAGACGCTCTTAGTCATCTCTCCCTAGGAAGTCACCGCTCTGTAACTGAACAATTGTCATCAAATAGTCAATATTTGTACTGCTAAATATACCACATTTATTCTGATCATCCCACAGTTTTTGATTTCATTTCCTGGTGTGAGGAGTTTCCTTGTACAAGTGCAAACTTATAGCAATTAAGTCTTCATTTTGTACCACGAAAGTACAGTATAGTCGTAAATAAAAAGAAACACATCTGATATACACGCTAAAATTCAAAAGATTAGGCTCCGTAACATTTTATTTTTCATGTTTTAGAAAGAAGTCTCTTAGGCTCACCAAGGCTGCATGTAAATCGATTTTTTTTTAAATTTATTTAATTTATTTATTTATGTATTTATTTTATTTTATTTTATTTTTTTATTAATTACTGTAATGGCAAAGCTGAATTACTCCTGTCTTCAGTGTCACGTGATCCTTCAGAAATCATTCTCATATGCTGACTTTGTGCTCAAGAAAAATTTATTATTATAAAATTATCATGAATGACTGCTAAAATATGTAAATAAAGACCATAAAAAACAATATTTCACAAACAAAATTATTATCTAACATTGCCATGAACTCTTTTACTAATTAGAATGCCTCAATTGACATAACATCACAACTTTTCAAACTTAGCAGTTCTAAAATACACATTTCATATCATGTCAAACAGATGGCCATTATGTTGCACTTACTTTAACATTTTACAATTATGGTTTTTTAATAATTCCAAAGTGTTCACAAACTTTATGTTTTCTAAATTATGAGTTTTGTCTCAGTGTGGACTAAATTGGAATATGATTCAAAACTCATTACAAAATCTATCATGATAAGAACATTTGAACAGCAAGCTTGAAAAAGGTGTGGAGCATTTACTTACGGCGTACACCAAACGCTTTCATGTTGTATTACTGTAAAAGTTATTGTACAGTACAGTTCATTGGCTCAAAGGATATCTTGCAGTTGTGATCATCTGTGAAAGATCATGATCTCATAAAAAAATAAAATAAAAAATGATGTAACTCGATCTTGTAAGTACATAAATGAAAAGACTAACAGACCAATGGGCAGCAGACAAAAACAATAAACACACCCATGCAAGACAGTAAAAATGCGTGTCCTGTTGTCATTCTGACTATGCATATGCACCATGGTAACATGGACATTACTTTGAGTGATAATCAAACCTGTTTTGATGTATTATTTTCAATACACCCAGAAGTGTTATGTATACTCAAATTAAAACTGTTGAATAAATACTGACGTATAACATAAATTTCCCACAAATGTAAAAACAGGTCCTTCAGATATGTAATCTGTAATATGTAGCAGCGGTGGACCCATGAACAAATAATAGCTAACTTCTGAGCTAATACAGACACTACTAGCCTAAGCCAGAGAACATTATAACATTAACAAAAAGGAAAGGGATCACCCAGAATACACGTACACGTATATGTTTGTTCTTCTTCTAAGTCCTCCTAAGTGAGGACTTTCAATTGACTTCTGTTGTTATACTGAGAAGGTAGGCTAATGTTTATCTCCTAAACCTGAAATGAACCTTCAGTCAGATAAACCTGTTGAGATCACTAGATGTAATGTAAAATATTATTTAGCTAATTTATGAGCATCTTAAATAATGAGCACCATTTCAAATATTGTCACAAGTCATTTTTTCACAAACTTTTGGCCCTCACAAGCATAACTAAACCTGTACACTTACAAACACGTTTACTAATCTGACTAATTATATAACCCACACCCTAAAACTAATATAAAACTTTCTGAATTTATATTTTTTCATATAAAAACTTGCTTTCTATACTGTGTTTACAAAATAAGGATGTCCAAAAAAGGAGTCTTGTCAGATTTAGTTCACTCCTGAGCACAAATTTACAGTTAAGTAGGTACAAATACAAACACAACCACCTGAGAAAAAACAGCAAGGATGTTTTGACTTGATATAGATACTCAGAAATGAGCTTTACATGACGCTTAATTCCTTTGGCATTTACACAAAGATATCCAACTGTCACCTTCAGCTAGCATTCAAAGGTAAGAATATCACTTATCACAACAATTCAAACTATTCGATCAAATTATCACTTACCCCATGGCATCACACACTTCCTGACTACTGATTAATTTTAATCAAACAATGTAAGCAAATGTATCCAATAACGGAGGGAATGCTGAGATAAAGCCATTAGCATTTGGCCGGTCAAGTGATCATAACACACAACTATGGAGGACGAAACCTGCAAAAATAATAAATAAATAAAAACACAAATAAATAAATAAATGTGTGCATAAATACACGTATTCTTGTTTAAATACATAAATAAATAATTAAACAAGTGATGAAAGTAGGCAAATAAATAAAATAAATTGGTGGGCAAATGGAAAATGTTTAAGGAAATGCCAAACTCATCCTAACTATTTTCCTTTGATCGCTCATTTATTTCTGAATGTAGTTCCACATTTTTTTTTCCCTCTGCGCGACATGCTAATGAGACATGTGATTAAAGTAGGCAAATAAATAAAATAAATTGGTGGGCAAATGGAAAATGTTTAAGGAAATGTTAAACTCATCCTAACTATTTTCCTTTGATCGCTCATTTATTTCTGAATGTAGTTCCACATTTTTTTTTCCCTCTGCGCGACATGCTAATGAGATGGTGTCAATTATGCAAGAGTAGGCGGATCGTGTGTGACGCGCTTGAGCGTTTGCCTGCGCATGCGTATTAACTTCATCAGTCAAGGGGACTGATTATTATCTTGCACTTTTTCATAGGGTTAGTTTTGTAGTTATAATCATGAGAGAGCTAAATCATAAAAGATTTTAAGTGGCCAATGTAAAATATTAATGCTTACATAGCTCTTAATTGCAATACTGAACCGTTATTTGCTTAATAAACATAATTTTGTCGCCTGTATTTTCTGTTCTGATAACTAATGGGAAAAAACTGTCTGTTCCTCGATTAAACCACTTCATACCAGATCTCAAGGATGTATATGAGCCTCTGTTTGTACAATAATAAATCGAGAATCAACTGAGATGTACCCTTGTGTATGTCACTAATTTGGTTCTCCCGCCGTAAAGAGAGAGATTGCTGCAGATCGACTTGGTTGTAGAAGACCGTTTACTGACCATAAAAATGATCTTACACGTACCTAAACAACGAGCAGGGAAACCCATCCTAATAAACACTAGCTGCCATCAAAAGAACGAGAACACTTCACAGTTGGTTGTGTTACTGTAAGTAATTTTCCTCAAATGCTATTGAAGTTAGTAAAGTGTATACCAATGTCGTATGTAACTTTAGAGACACCTCTGGCCATTTCTTTGGGTCATGTGTAAAGTCACAAATACTGTACGGACAATACAGCTCAGTTTTTTTATGTATCTTGCTCTGTTGAACGGAAAAGGTGACTTTACGTAGGCCATACTGGATTAACACCACGCATTTCCTGTCAGAGGGAAAGGACTGTTTTCCCCATGCCATGCCCCCAGGTATGACATGAACCCGACCAAGTCCATGGTTGACACCCTCTCATTAGCATGTTGCGCAGAGAAATCTACATTCAGAAATATCAGATAAATAAATAGGATGAATTAGGCATTTTCTTAAACATTTTCCATTTGCCCACCAATTTATTTTATTTATTTGCCTACTTTAATCACATGTTTAATTATTTCTATATGTATTTAAACAAGAATTTGTGTATTTATACACACATTTATTTATTTATTTGCATATTTATTTATTTATTGTTTTTGCAGGTTTCGTCCTCCATACATAACACTCTGATATGACAAAGTAATAAATAAGTTCACGTTTACTATATATTTTATTGCAATAAACTAATATGAGCATAGTAGTTTTGTTTCTGTTGGTTTATTTTGTGTTCATGCACTTGAATGCACCTGCCCAGCCTGTCTAACACCTGCTTAGACTGCATGACGGTCATTTGTGCTGCTGTAATTATTTTCCTGCGTGCCAATGGTTTAAACTGTATTTCCCAGTCCGCTGAGTTTTCCTGATCCCTCGTCACATGGTTTGTCATTACCGTGCCGAGTACAGGCCCTTCCTTGGACTGCCACCTGAAATTCAAATGGACGTGTGGAGGAGGCACGGCAGAACGGAGTCACGGGGGACCTTTACTCGGAAGCAGTAACACAGGAGGCAAAATAAACACAAGGAAGGAGGAGGAAGCGGCTGCTATGAGCGTGCGACGTCTTCTGGTCATGGAAGAAGTTTTTGGGACACATCGCTTCTTGGGATTCTTGTTCTTTTAGTATATTAGGACATACGAAATGGGAAAATAAATGAACGCCGGAGTTCTCCGTGAAATTGTAGCCCCTCTGGCAAACAACTGCCACACCTTCGTCATCAGTGTAACAGGTAAAGGTTTTCTCTTTACGCGCTTCATCATGTAAGAGCTAAAGTTTTTCCTCGCACCTGTTGCGCAAAGTTCGATATAGGAGGATTGAACATTTGTCCAATATGAAGATACATCTTTAAAAAATAAACAGTAAATAAAGTCTACTTTATTGCCACTAAAACTATACTTTTGGCAGTAGCCTATCATCCTCATCCATTTTTTTCTCTCTGGAATATGAGGGAGATAAACAACGTAATAACTGAGTCAGATCGATTACCTGGAGCTTAGTTATTGTTGGTTACTGGTAGTTGAAGCCTGCACTTGTACTTTAATGGCAGAAGAAACAAACACGGTTTTACCTTGTCAGATGAAGGTGTTGCAGTGAACAGGGTGTATACTTTTTCTGTTTGCTTGTATTGTTAAAAGTGTAGTTCACCTCAAAATAAAAAAATCAGTAATATTCTCACCCTGATGTCAAATCCACATTACTTTTTTCTTGCAATTACAGTTAGTTCATGGTGACTAAAGATGCAAGCTTAAAAAAGGAAACAGAAGCATGATTAAAGTTGTCCGTGGGATTTGTCTACTGTATTTTAGGTCTTCTGAAGCCATGTGATACTTTGTGTGAAGAACAGATTGAAATGTCTGTCATTATTTACTGAAAACATTCCTATTCAGTGAGCTATTAATGACTGTGACTGAATTATTAAATCATAAATAGGCCTATCTCTTCTCTTTTGAGTTACCATTTATTTTCATTGGATGATTAAAAAAAAAACAAGGCATTCTTCAGAATTTCTCGTTTGGTTCAAGGAAGAAAGATGGGTTTGAAATAGGGCTGCACGATTAATCGCATGCGATATTGAACGCGCATCTTGTCAGAAAGCCGGTTCTGTAATCAGCGGTAAATCTCCATCACCTGCGTGCTTTCACATTGAGCAGCATTAACTACACAGAGCCGTTGTTCACTGATGAGCAGCGCAAAAAATCGCGCGAATATGAACGTGGTTTAGCGCAGCTCGTCAGTGAACAACGGCTCTGTGTAGTTAATGCTGCTCAATGTGAAAGCACGCAGGTGATGGAGATTTACCGCTGATTACAGACCGGCTTTACTGATAAGATGCGCGTTAAATATCGCATGCGATTAATCGTGCAGCCCTAGTTTGAAACAACATGAGGTGAAGGCTTAAATCTCTCTTTCTGCCAATATCTTTGCTTTGTTTTGGGAATATAAATTGAACAACATAAGTGATTCAGATGAGCTGAAGTTTGGCTATCATTTGTATAATTTTAAATGTGGTTAAAGCCATTATTTTTTAACTGTGAACCGATGGCGGAAGAAAAAGGCTTTTACCTTGTAGGTGAAGGTGTAGTTTGTAAAAGGTGTAGTTTTTCTAACCTTGGACAGTTTAGTTTGAACTAGGGATATGCCGGTATCAAATTTTCATGTTGCGATTAATTGCTAATGCTTTTATCACGGTATACGGTATTATCGCGATGTTGAGATTTAGTTTAAAAAAAAGTGCTGTCATAATACGGTATAACAGGTTTAATAACTTTTTTCTTATAACAAAAATAACTGAACATTTAAATGCAATAAATCAATACAGAAAAATGTTTTAAAACTTTTAAAAAGTTAAAAGTTTTAAACAGATTAAAGTGCAAAAGAACTATAAAGACCAATAGGTATCGCTTTACAATAAGACCTCATTAGTTAACCTTAGTTAATGCATTAACATTTACAATGAGCAATAGCTACATTTGCTACAGAAGTTATTAATCTTTGTTTAAAAAATACAAGTCTTAGTTCATGTTAGCTCATTAAATAACACAGTTGCAACTTTCGATTTTAACAACGTGTTATTAAATATTGGAATACCTAAGATTAATGAATGTTCAGAAGAATTTTTCATTGGCAGTTTATGTTAACTAATGAA